GATTGCTGGTTGCTGTATATTCCTAATTCTGAATGCAAATGTACCCATATCTAAATTTACATCTCTTAAGAGTTTAATTGCAGGATAATAGAAGTGAACAGTTTATTTTGAGATTCCCTTTAATAAAAGCTCAAGAAAATTCCTAATTTCTGATTATTGTGCAGTTTCTACAAAGGAGTTGCTCCACTGTGGATGAGGCAGATTCCATACACGATGATGAAGTTTGCTTGTTTTGAAAGAACTGTGGAAGCTCTTTACAAATTTGTTGTTCCCAAACCAAGAAGTGAATGTTCAAAAGCAGAACAGCTGGTTGTTACCTTTGTAGCAGGTTATATTGGTAAGGAACATTTCTCAACATTTAAAAAAATGTGATGGTAGTATATTCCTGCCTCCTCTTGGGTACAGGTCATGTAGTCATGTGGTAGTAACAGCATTTGGGGTTGCCATTACTAAGCAGTGCAGTCACATGACATTGCACTTTATGACCTATAGCAACAGCAATTCTAATCTCAGTTGCTGTCATAACTAATCTACTTGTAATAATGCACTAACAAATTTAAAATTAATTATTTTCAGCTGGTGTCTTCTGTGCCATTGTCTCACATCCTGCTGATTCTGTGGTATCTGTGTTGAACAAAGAAAAAGGCAGTTCAGCTCTGACAGTACTGAAGAGGCTGGGATTCACAGGTAAGTATCAAAGTATTTTTTTTAAAAAAAGAGAATCAATGAATGCTTTTGGTTACTAACCCTGATATCTTTCTCATCAGGAGTATGGAAGGGTCTGTTTGCCCGTATCATTATGATTGGTACTCTGACAGCACTACAGTGGTTTATTTATGACTCTGTGAAAGTTTATTTCAAACTTCCTCGTCCACCTCCACCTGAGATGCCAGAATCCTTGAAGAAAAAGCTTGGTCTTACTGAGTAGATGAATGATGGACTGAATGGCTGATAATGAAACATTGTGAAACTTTATTCTCATGGCAGTATAGGACAATGAAACATGCTTGGCTCGGGCGGTCATTGGTGGTCAAAATAAAGAATAACTAGAAAGACTTTGTTTCATAATTTTAAGTTTGACAGGATGAAATACTGTCATCTTAATAAAGAGAAACAACATATTTATGAAAATGGTCTTTTATTTACTAAGTTCTACCTTTACCCTTCCTAAATCTGAAGAAAGGAAAAGTGCACATATTTTAATTTTACATTTAGTAATTCGTTATAATATGAATTAAATGGTTTTCTAAAGTGATCTAAATGGGTAATCATAATCATGTATATTATCAATGGTGCAATACAACAAAATATTTTAACCAGAGAAACTGCTAACTAAAAAGGCTACATTAGGCAGGAAAATGTCCTATATCATTAAGGCTGTCACAAGCAAATTTAATAGAGTAAGAAAATTGCAACTCTATGTTATAAATATATCTGCTTCCAGGTTAGACCTACCTCAAGCATTCAGTTTGAATTATATGTATAAATCTATACACAGTCATCTATCAAAATACTTGGTCAGAATTAAAGAGAAAAGTTATTAAGTTTTCAGAAGTATATAGATAAAATTTTGGAAACCATAAATATAAAATTACTTTTCTTAAGTCAGTAGTCCCCAAACTTTCTGGCTTGGGGGGGGGGGGTTCTGTATGAGTGGCAGACATGCAATGCCACTTGTAGAAATGGAGCTTTGCACGCAAGTGTGAGCACCCCCTGCTCACGTAAGCGAAGCTGTGCTTGCATGGCCCGGTTCTAAATGGGCCAAGGCTCAGTAGTAGGCTGCAGTCTGGGGGTTGGGGATGCCTGTCTTAAGTCTTGAACATTCCTTGTTGAGGATGCTTAGATGAAAATGATTTAAAATGATTTTGTCTAGCTACTAAAACCTGAATCTCTTGCTTCAGAAAATTTCCAATATTGTTTTTTTTTTGTTTTTTTTTACAAAAATGCTGGGAGCGTTTTGCAGAAACATGATGCAAACCTAAATTTTATAAGATTTAACATCACCAGTGTTAAAGGTATCATTGCATTTTCACTGGTAATTTAAAACTTGTGATTTCACTTGAATGTCTAATTCAGACATTGAAACAAAATTGCCTTTTTAAAAATTAAATTTGCTATATGCAGATTATTTTTTAAAGTTTTATGATTTAACATCACAACTTGGTTAAAACAAAGTACTCTGATTTGTTAGAATTAAAATGTTCTTAGATGTGTTCCTCTTTGAAATAGTTGTCACTCAGTTTGAGTCTGAACTGAAGTTAAATTAGATAGCTTTTTATTTAGGAGAGCAAGTTCCTTCTGGCTTTCCAATAGATCTCCAAGTAGTCTTCCAATTCGTAATGTTAATTCATCTAATACAAGTAGCAAATGGGCCAAATCATTCTTTAAATTGTGGACTTTAGGTTTTAACTCATTTGCAAAGGCTACTGTTGTCAGAACTTTAGCTCTATCACTTTCCAATTCTAAAAGTTTATTGAATTGCTTGGTAGAGTCGGCTTTCAACTCAAATGATTTTGCCTTAATGTGCTTTACTTCTCTGGTATTTTCAGATGCAATATTTTGTAACTTTGTAGTCCTGTCAATGCTACTAGTGAGAAGATCCCCTATATTCTGTATTATGGCCTTTTCAACTTTATTTACTTTGTCTTCTAGAATTTCTAGATTCTCTATTAATAAGGATATATCTGTTTGAAGACCTGAAATGCGTCTAATGTCAGTCTTTACATCTGCAATTTTTATAGAGATGCCCTTAGTTTTTTCCTCATGTTTAGCAACTGCATCAAAGAGAGATGTTAAATTTAGCTGGAGCTCCTCCTCTTCTTGAATTAACCGGCTGGATCTTAGTTGCATGATGCTAATCTCCTTTTGCAGATACTTCATCTGAGGAATTACATTAAGATCTTCCAGTTGTTTTGTTAAACTTGGTACCATTTCACACTAAAAAGCAAAAAGTCTGATAACATTATATTGAAATTTAAAATGTTCAGATTTCCTGCAATGAAAGGTAATTTAAAATTCTCCAGTTTTATCAGTAAACTGTCATAAAGGAAAAGGAGAATATTCTTAAATGCTTTCATTAGCTTATTAAATAAAGGATAAGGTTTGTGAGCCTTTTATGCTGACATAGAAATTGGATCTAGTGGTTTCTGTACAAATTATGAGAAGCCCGCGTTGACTGTTAAACATTCTTCATGTGATTTCCAGCCAGTATCACTGTGTCACAAACTATAAGAGCAATATTGGCTTCTTTTTGCCTGGATTGAGAGTGAGGTAAGTGTTTAATTTTTAAAAATCATAAAATTAAAACACACACATAAAAAGCTTAAAATAATATACTTAGCATTTCTTCCAGCTATTTTCCCCACCCTGTGATGTATTTTGGGGCAAGAGAAAATTACTGGGCCCAGGTCATCCTGTGAACTATCATGCTGAAAGAACCTCAATCTTGGTTTTCCTAGTCAAAATAATAATTCCTTATCTATTACACCAGACTGGTTACTTATACACCTGCATCATTGTCTGTATCATAGAATCAAGCTTGACTTCTAGCACACAGATACTTCCATGTACAGGTAGTCATTTGAGAAAAGTCCATTCAACAACCATAACTGCATTTTGACCACATTTACTGTTGCCAACTGCCGCCACCACTCATCTGCCCGCCAATGAACCCACTACACAGTACAGTATTACTATGCCAGCTGGTGTCTTTCTCATGCTGTCTTTCACACCAGTGCTTGTTGGGGTTTCTCTTGCCCAGCGTCTGCACCTGCTCTGGATGTCAGTTCACATACCCAGGCCTTTTGCAAAAAAAAAAAAAAATCTAGGTAGAATGACCCTCCTTTCACATCTCTGCCTTTTTTGAGAGACTTGTGAAAGGAAGTCCCAGGTATGCCAGCATGAAAGGAGCCTTCTAGATGGCTGCTTTCTGAAAAAAGGCCCTAATTGGTGCACAAATGGAGGTACTGGGTGAGGTATGAATGGCAGCCCAGGTAGGGAGCAAGAGGAGCCCTGGTGGCAGTGGTGCAAAAGGCAATGTGAAAAATGGCCCAGCTGGTACAGTGATGGGACACAGACTGACAGGTAGCAGTGGGTGGCAGCAGCAGCTGGTAACTAGGCTGACAGCCAAAAGGGGAAAAGATTTAGGGAGATAAGCAGGTGGAGGAAATTCAAGACAAGGCAGTTTCTTATATTATCTAGGCTTGGGATCGAGAGGGACCAAGCCTGGAATGGCTTGGCTAACAACTGATGGGATGTCACACTTTACCACTGCAGCATTTAAAAACAAATTCTGGCCCCAATTGCCATTGTAACTTAAACCTACACTTTTCTTTGGCAACATACAAAAGGGATTTGTAATCTGCCTTGTAGGATTCCCCTTCCCCTTTCCTAGTCTTTACTCCCTCAAATCTCATTCTCAACTTTTTCAACTGATGCTATATTAAATTCAAGCATATTAGAGAATGGTGAAATTTCAAATACTTTACTGATCTTATCAAGTTTACGATCAGTATCATTTTTCATTCTTTCACCAAACTAGACTAGCAATTCATAGAGAAAGGAGAATCATCCCAATCCTTATGTGTAATTTGTACATAGCACAAGAAGCCACCATCTGGATGGGCTTGTGAAACACCAATAACCTGCACACAGCTGCTAACACTATTCTGATAGCTGAAAATATGGATAATCTGCAAGTAATCCGATTCTTTCTACTAATAAAAGGAACAGTGAAAAAATGACCAATTTATAAAGAAATAAAAACAAATATTTAGAATATGACTTCCGATAGCTGAAATATGGATGACCTACAAGTAATCTGATTCTAATAAAAGGAACAGTGAAAAAATGACTAATTTATAAAGAATAAAAATAAATGATAT